CATTCTTTGTTAGATTTTGCCATACTAAGTTTCATTTCTTGTAGTATTTTGCCATCCTAGATTTCATTTGGTAGTATTTTGCCATACTAAGTTTCGTTTATTGTAGTATTTTGCCATCCTAGATTTCATTTGTTAGATTTTGCTATAGTTGATTTTATTTTCTATCGGAATTTACCATCCTATATATATTTTATGTTGAATTTTCCACCGTTGGATTTTTACCTCCTAGATTTCGATTCAATTTTACCATGAGTTTTCACATGTAAAAGCATCAATTATAATAATTTTTTCGTTAACAATTTATTCGTTGTATTATAAAATTGTTATTTATAGCTCAAGTCTTTAAATGTTCAATGCTATAGAACTGAAAGCTGCAACGTAATATCGTCCCGTTTTTCAAAAATAAGATTTAGGGTTGTAATGGAGAACTAAGGAGAAAACTTTTGCGTTGTTCTTATTTGTGGCATTTTGTATTTGAACGCACAGTGTTTATGAAACGAAAATCTAGTGCTGTGTATATAAAATAATTGAAATATTTAAGTGACCTGCCTATACTACTCTCGTTAGAGGTTGAGTACATAAAGCTTTGGACAAATCTGATGGCTGTGCGGGGCGTCTCAATGACTGCGAGGTTTAACCTTAATGAGTTAAATCTTTTCCACGACACATGATACCCACCAAACACCTTTAGTACAAAAGACACTTTGAGCCGAATGAACTGATCAAATATGACAAACCAGTCGACTTGTCTAGTAAGAGACGTCAGATATAGCGACGCTTTCAAAACTTGGGTTTCAGGGACAACTATTAAAACTCAGTGATATTGCCCCCAGGTCCCCACTCGACAGAGTAACGGTACTGATATTCTACGTACTTACAAACAAATGGAGAAATAAACACATAAACACTACTGTCTGAAATGGAGCTCTGAGAGATGGTAGGTCCATTTCCCCAATACCTTTCCCTTTGCGGTGCATAATACTATCTACGACCCATCTCATTCCTTACACATATGGTGACGTCGTCCGTCCTTTCCTATTCCTAACTTCATTTTTGCTTAGTTTAAAAACGTTTAAAAAACTTCCTGCGCACATATGGTGACGTTGTTAGTACTTCCCTATCCCTAATTTTACGTTTGCGTGAAGTTTAAAACGCTTCCAACGCACACACCTTATTCTTTTAATTATATAGATAACCGTAATTTGTTAAACCCAACAAACATGACTGTAGATTATTTTATTCATCACTATCAGAAGCCTATTCTTCTTTCCGATTTCTCCAGAGTTGCTGATGATGGACGGAATGTTGAACAGTTAAAGACATGAGAAGTAAATAGCAAGATTATAATACAATCGAATAAGTTATTAAAGAAAAAATAACTAAAATTTAACATTTTTATGTGTGAAAACGCATGGCATAATCTTATAGGAGACGAAATCTAGGATGGCAAAATCCAACGGAAAATGAAATGTAGGATGGCGAATAAATCATCTACGACAAACAAAGTTAGTAATACTCGGTCTTAAAGGATGGCAAATAAACCATCTACGACAAACAAAGTTAGTAATACTCAATCTTAAAGGATGGAGAATAAATCATCTACGACAAACAAAGTTAGTAATACTCAATCTTAAAGGATGGAGAATAAATCATCTACGACAAACAAAGTTAGTAATACTCAATCTTAAAGGATGGAGAATAAATCATCTACGACAAACAAAGTTAGTAATACTCAATCCTAAAGGATGGCGAATAAATCATCTATGACAAACAAAGTTAGTAATACTCAGTCTTAAAGTTTTAGATGGTTGTCCTAAAATACAACTTCCATATGTGAATGAGGCAATTAATGCTAAAATTAAGTATGGTGAAAAACGAAAATATATAAATCTATTTTCAATAATCCCAGATACTGATCTTCTCTTCTCTCTTTTTTTTTATTATTATTATTTTTTTGGATGTTGCAACAAGCGGTTTGTTGGCATAAATATTGATACTGTTTTTATTTCTTTACCACAAATAGTCTGTTTAAATAACGTTTGTACTGTTTTTATTCTTTTATGGTGGTAGGCAATCAGTTGACATCAATGTAGTTGGAACAAGACGAATACTCCAACTTTGTCACAAGATTAAGCACCTGGTGGTAAGGTTATCAAAAACTTATAATCTAATTAAACGTTTCACATTGTGCTTCTGTTTTATTTTACTGTTATTCTTTATTGTTATCTAAAGGAGTTAACTTTGCGATATTTTAATCGAAAGGTAATAACTTAATATGCTCTACGTGTCACAGGAATTAATAAGTACAATTTGACGCCACCTTCTTTTTCTAAACCTTTACATTTCTAATTTTGTTCAAATTATTTGCTTTTATTTTCGATTAAACTATAGGATATTAAGGATAAAACTAAATGAATATCTCACTTGCTGTTACAAGTTATCTATGATTGGTCGTTTTCTTTGATATTTTTAAAAGACCACGTTGTACTTCGGTGATTTGTAAAGACCTGCTATGCTAAAAAAATGTTGTTTGGTTATTGTATGCACAATTATCTATCAAACTTCTCTTTCGACCACGGGGATCGAACACGAAATTTTAGTATTATATACCTTGAAGCTTAACTGCTTAACCAATTGGGATTTGTTAAGAAACCAACTTAAAACCACTTATAAAACAGTTTATTTAAATCCCAAAACAATTTTAAGTATTGGCGGCTATTTCTGTTATGTGATCTCAGTTGTTTATCATGAAATTTATAATGTAAATAGCGTTATAATCACTACTGTGCCTGTCGTATCACAGCCGGTCTGATAAACCCTATTGTTGAGCGAAAAACCTCGTCGGCACTAGATATAGCAAATATGGTGTGAATGATGTACTGCTATACATTCTTTTTTACTTTTACTCATAGGTTCGTAGATTTACTAATGTAGGTTCTCTTCTATTGACGTTGTGGTCGTTTGATCTGTTTCGGGAACATTAAAATCAGCTTACTGGTTCACCATTTTGTTTGTTTGGTTTCGCATAGAAACTTCGAGGGTTATCTACGCTAGTCTTTCTTAATTTTGACGTGATAGAGTGGAGGAAAAAGCAGCTGTTCAACACTACTGACTGCCAACTCTTGGACTATTCTTTATTAACAAATAGTGGGATTGACTATCACATTGTAGTTTCCCCATGGCTGAAAGGGTGAGCATGCTTGACGACATGTTTCGATCCCACGTTCCGAAAATTGCGAGACAAGCGTTCTAACTATCAAGACATGCCAGGCCAAATTTATCAGTTCTTTTGAATCATGAATAAAGTTAAAAAAGTAAAAATAAATTACAATAATAAATAATTATTGTTAAAGTAAATAAATAATATTTATTTATCCTTACTCTAATTCTAAGTTGTAAACGGTTCATATAAAATTACACTTCAATTTGAACATCCCAATCACTACTGTAGTATTCCAGCAGAAAAAACGAAACAATGATATCATGCTACAAGACTGTTTTTAAAAATGGACCTATCTCTGTTGGATATTCACGACGAATTTTACATAAACATACATGCACATCAACATAAAATGTCGAATTAACAGCATGTTATCTGTACGTAACTATTAAATCTGTGCTCATCAGTAACATACTGATTTTTGTGTATACAACAATGCTACGGTTAGAATTCGAAAATGTTATTTATCTTATTTAATAAAGGAGGTTAAGTACTTTGAAACATTTCACAAGTTCATCTAATCTATAAGTCTCCTTCTATGATAAAGGAGGTTAAGTGCTTGGAAACATTTCACAAGTTCATCTAATGTATAAGTATCCTTCTACAATAAAAGAGTTTAACTACTTTAAAACATTTCACAAGTTCATCTAATGTGCAAGTCTCCTTCTACAATGAAGAAAATTAAGTACTTTCAAACATTTCACAATTTCATCTAATGTATAAGGCTCCTTCTCCAATATGACAATCTTTGCTCTTTCAAGTGGGTTTCGGTTGGCCCTGACATACCAGAGCTCTAGATATCGGGGTTAGCGATCCAGATTGAAATCCGTGCAATATCAGAAAATTTTCCCCTAGCTTTAACCTTTGAGAGCGTTATAAGAATCGCAGTCAATCTCTTAATGTGGATGGTGAGTGATAGAATGCTGTTGATTGGCTGTCTACCCTCTGGCCACCAGTTCAAAACTTGTGGCGCATATCCTTAGTAAAGTTACCATAAATACAAATACTTAGCATACAATAATAATATTTAATAATGTTTGCAGCCACAACTCAAACGCACTGTTACGACAGTGGAAGTCACGTGACGCTGGGAGCATGCGTGGTGAATTTCTCGAATAATCGGGGAACTCCGCGAATGTTGGACACGCCTCTTTGTCAGTATATTAGTATATAAGCCTGGCAGAGAAAAGCCAGGGAGTTAAGCGAACAGTAGTGACGGTGAGTTTCGGGTAATTTGCGATTCTGTTTCGAGCTAGTGTGTGTTTTGCACTCGTCGAGAACGAAGTTGTCGAGATAGTGAATCGCTGTGATTTATAGCTTGTATTATAAATGTCGTTAAGATTAAAGTGACGAGAAACGTACTGATTGTGGAACTTTGTGTGTACTAAAAGTTTGTATCGAGAAAGAATAAACTGGTTTAATCAAGAAAGGACTTGTATCTCTGAAGTTCCTCCGAAAGAATTTCTACCGGAAATTAACAAACAAGTAGATACGTAACAGTACCTTCAGAGTAGCCGTGCCTCTGTAAAAGACAGTCCTATGATAGCACTACTACACAGCGTGGTTACAAGTAAATAGACACCACCTTTTCAAAAAAAATGAAAATGTTCAGTCATATTCACATGA